TGAAAAGGAATGAAAACCAACTTTAACCATTATGTTTTAATTTCTATTTCTGCCCCTCATAGAAATAGAAATTATACAACTAGTATCTACACATTATGTCCATAACACATATACCCTTAAGCCTATTAACTAAATTGAATCACTTAAATTGTAGGCTTCTTATAAATGATAACACCACATTTAATTATGTGGTCCCATTGAGACATTATCTAACAACTTTCTATGTTTTCTTGAAAGTGTATTGTTCCACAAACAGATTGCCAAACAATTTTTTAAATGAAAAAAACAATAATAATAACACAATTAAAGAGAATCTTTTCTTAGTGTTTATTTTATTTATATTTTTGTGCCTACAAGAGGAATCTGATTATATACGGTTTTCAAGGAAGTCTATGAAGTACGTGTTACAAACATTAAAACTAATCACAAAATTAGATAGATAATAAATATGAAGGAATAACGTTTTATGAGATTTTTTAGTGAGATTTACTTTTAAAAAATCTTGTTCTTCTGCACATATTTTATGTTTGATTTTGTAATTAGCTTTTCTGTTGATAAACTTAATATTCATTGAGTCATACGGTGAGACTTTTGGTAAGTGTTAAAAAATTTAACTAAAAAACATGTGTCAAATGAATTTTTAAATACTTTGTCAGTATTTTTCTAATTTTTAGTTCATTTCAGAACATGTTTAAAAAAAATCTGTAAAACTTTTGAAAGTTTTACACAATTTGTGTGGGAAATGAAAGGTCACAAAACCTGAAAATGACATACAAAGCTCTTCTCGCTTTGCAATTTTTTTTTATCATATATACACATGTTAATCGATAGATATTCTTAGTTTCATTTGTTTGCATTTTGTCTGCATTTATTATGCATTTTTATGGTATTGGGGCTGTAGTTTTGAAGGATTTAACCATATATCGGAGAATGTAAGAGAGGTTCTCTTTTTAATAATGTCACTATTTTTTAATTATTGTTATTATGCATTTTAATGGTATTGGGGTTAGTAGTTTTAAAGGATTTAACCAATATTGGAGAATGTACAAGAGATTTTCTTTTTAATTATTATTATTGTTGTTGTTTGTCGTCTGAATTTTTAATTATTTGAACTTTTGGTTAAATTAATCATAAAAAGATAAAATAGTTTAAAAAGTCAATAAAATAAAATGTCAAATCCAAATCATAATTATTTTATTTTTTTTCTAAAAAAAAAAAAAAGGAAAAAACCCAAATGAACTTTTTAACTCCAAACAAAAAAAACCAAAAAACCAATCAACTCTCCAAACGAAATCTCTAATTATTAAACATTAAGAACTTGTTTGGGACAACTTCTCCAAAAAAATACTTTTGTAGAGAAGCCCTTTTGATATAAAATTATGTTTGATAAGTGCACATTTCATTTTTTAATTTTCTCAAAAAGTTTGAAGCAATGGAAATTCATAACAATGAGAGGTCAGTATTACAGGGACAACATCATCATTTAAAATTTTGGACAAGTTTTACTTTATCCTTTATTGTTTGGACCATGTGTTGTTTATCTTATAATGTTCAGAAATGGTCACGTAATTTCTTTGTGATTTGTGAACTGAAATGCACTATTATGACCATTAACGATTTACTAAAAAAAGACTAAAATACCCTTATTTTTTCATCATTTGTTTGGATAGCAAAATTCACTTTAACCCCCTGTATTTTATTTTATAATTACCACTTTTTTACATTTACTGATAAGTTTGGCGAAATGTTTAATGTGATTTAACGATGCACTTCAATTCACAAATCACGTGTGAATTATGTGTCATTTCCAAATATTATGAGGATAAATCGCATATAACCCAAATTATAGGGCAAAGTGAAGTTTACCTAAATTTTTTTTTTACTTATGTGTGTATCAGACTGCACGAGAAATTATTGAGAAAGCCATCTAATGAAGCTTCCACTTAACGGACTTTTAGAAGCAAGCACTTTTTAGAAAAGGCCGGGTACACAAATTCATTAAATGACCATTAAATCTTTAAAACGACTTTTAATGCTCGGAGTCTCTTATGCATTTTTTGTTAAGCATAATGCTCAGGATGAGGCTCACGCTGACTCTGCAACAGCTGCACCAGCAGCACTAAAGCTCTGCAACAGCTTATAGTAGTCCAGCTCAACTAAAGATTGCAAGTTGTTATTTTACTAGTTAGTTTGTTAGAACTAGAGTTAGATTGCAGTTATGGTTAGGTTAGGAGGTTAGAAGGTAGTTAACAAATAGTTGTTTCTCTATAAATACAAGTTCTGTAATTCTATCTTGTGTTGAATAAAAAGAGTCACATTCTCTTTATGGTATCAGAGCCATCAAGCTCTTGCGAGCAGAAATCCTTTGAGATATTGCTATGGCTTCTTCAAACCCTACACCTTCAAGCTCTTCTTTACCTGCAAATCTTACACTCTTAATTTCAAACCTGAATGCTTTTGTGCCTACGAAACTTGATTCAACCAATTATATTGTCTGGAAAAGTCAGATTCATAACATCTTGAAAGCTACAAAGCTTCTTGGATTTGTTGATGGTACTATCATATGTCCATCCTCTATTGTGATTGACTCAAACAATCAAGAAGTTCTGAATCCAGATTACACACAGTGGATCACTATTGATTCACATCTGTTGAGTTGCATCACAGCTACATTGTCTTCGTCTCTCTACACTTCTGTTATTCATTGTCAGACTAGCCATGAAGTCTGGTCTGTTCTTGCCAAAAGGTTTACCTCTCTTTCGAGATCTCATATTCATCAGTTGAAAAATAAACTCAGTCGTATTGTTAAAAAAGGTTCAACAATGGAAGACTACTTGAATCAATTCAAGTCCATTTCAGATCAGCTTGCTCTAGCTTCAGCACCAGTTGACGATGAGGATCTGGTGCTCTTAGTTCTTAATGGTTTGCCAGATGAATACAATGCTTTCAAGACCACCATTAGAGCTCGATCTGATCCTATTTCCATGGAAGATTTGTCTTCATTACTGTGTTCAGAGTCTATTCATATTGAGTCTTCCCTGAAACAGACTCATACAGCTGAAATTCCATTTGCTTATTCTGTAACAAGAGGAAACTATAAAGGAGGTAACAGAGGAGGTCATCGCGTTTCTTTTCGAGGCCGAGGTTCCTCTCCTAGAGGTTCAGAAGTTTTCAGAAGTTCAGAAGGTTCCAGAGGTTCAGAGAGTAGTGGTCGGTTCCGAGGCAGTTCACAGCATGGTAGTCCTCTCAGAGGTAGTGGTCAATATCACAGAGGTCGGCCCAACTTTAATCCTAATAATGCTGTGGTTTGTCAGATCTGTGGAAAACTGAACCATACTGCACTAGACTGCTGGTACAGAATGGATTCATCTTTTCAGAATAGTTCACAAAATAGTCCACATCAAACCTCCTTTATTCAAACCAGTCCCACAGCCTATATTGCTTCTGCCTCACCTTCATCTGTAGCATCCACACCTGCATCCTCTTCAAACTGGTTTCTTGACTCTGGTGCAACCAGTCATATGACTAATGATCTCACTAATTTCTCCTTTTATCATCCCTATTCTGGACAAGATCAAGTTGCTGTCGGTGATGGCTCCACTCTACCTATCACTCACACTGGTAAGGGTCTTCTTCCCACACCGACATTTCCTTTTCACCTTCACAATCTCCTTTATGTTCCTTCTATCTCCTCCAACTTACTTTCCATTCATCAACTAACTAAGGACAACAATTGTACTGTTACTTTTGATTCTCATTCTTTTCTGATTCAGGACAAGGCTACTCAGAAAGTGCTGCATAGAGGATCTTATGCTCATGGCCTCTATCCCCTTTCTTCATCATCTTCTGCATCTTCTTCTTCACCAGCCTGCTTCTCCTGTACAAAGAAATCTGCTGCATCTAACTGTCCAAAGCAGTCTGCTGTATCCAACTGGCATTTCCGGCTGGGTCATCCTTCTTCTCAAAAATTTCAGCATGTTTTAGCACACAATAGATTCATGCATTCATCTCCTGTACATAATTCCAATAATAACTCTATCGTGCTTTAGCTCAGGTATCTGCTGAGTTGAGTTGGCTTGGCATGCTTCTAGCTGAACTTCATGTCTCTGTGGCTGTTCCTACCTTATGGTGTGATAACTTGTCTGCAATTGCCTTGGCTCACAATCCAGTCTTCCATGCTAGAACTAAGCATATTGAAGTCGATTATCATTTTGTTCGTGAGAAAGTTGCTGCCAAGAAACTTGCTATTTGTCATATTGCGTCAACTGACCAAATTGCCGATATTCTCACAAAGCCTCTCTCAGTTTCCAGATTTCAATACCTTCAGAGCAAACTTCAAGTGTTTCCCACTTCTCTCCGTTTGCGGGGGACTGTTAAGCATAATGCTCAGGATGAGGCTCACGCTGACTCTGCAACAGCTGCACCAGCAGCACTAAAGCTCTGCAACAGCTTATAGTAGTCCAGCTCAACTAAAGATTGCAAGTTGTTATTTTAATAGTTAGTTTGTTAGAACTAGAGTTAGATTGCAGTTATGGTTAGGTTAGGAGGTTAGAAGGTAGTTAACAAATAGTTGTTTCTCTATAAATACAAGTTCTGTAATTCTATCTTGTGTTGAATAAAAAGAATCACATTCTCTTTATTTTTGCCAAACACCCATTAAATATCTTAGTTTCTTTGTCTTAGTGTGCTGATAATTTTACGGTATGACGTGAATATTGAAAAAAAAAATGAGAATATCAAGATAAGATCATGCAGCTAGAAATACATGGGAACAAAGAAGCCATTTATGACAACCTATCTCTTCGTTTCTTTCCCAGTCGTTCCGAACTCTTTATTGGCAATGATTGTATGAACTATTTTTTCCCTGAAGATGCAGATTCTATGCTACAGAACAGGCAAATTAAAATTTCATTTAGCTCATCAATTTATGATCTGATTTTAATTTTGCTTACAACTTCATATGTTGATATAATGCTTGTACATGTGATTATATTTTGCAGAATCCATTGATCCATCTACACAGATTTGTTCAGGGAGCTATCAATGCGACTGTACATGCCATTAGCAATTGCAATATTATGTGAAAACTCCCAAGCAATGTTTTCTCTTCATGCTAAGTACTTTGTTTCAAATGTTTTTTTTTTTTTTTTAATTATCATTGGTGTGTAAGACTTATTTTGTGTGTTAGAAGTGTAATCGGAAGCTTGAATCCTTAAAAATTAGTGTTTTAACCAAAAAAATTATTAAATTTGGAAGCTCAAAACCTTTTAATAGCCTTTTTTTCTGTTTGGCCACGTAATTAGAATATTAGTATGTTAGTAAATAAATAAACATAACCAGGCGTTCAATGTTTATCCATAATTCTAAGAATAATGTTATATGTACCAATTAGTATACTAATTTTTTTTATCGGCAAAGAAAAACTTTATTGATGAAAGCAACCAAAAAAATAGATTACATCAATAAAGAGGAGCTGGGAGCAAGCACAAAGCACCAATTAGTATACTAATTAGTATATCAATTGATGATGATGTGGCATAATTTAAGAGATTTTTGGGATTTATAATGTAATTAATGAGTGAAATCAATAATAATATCATAACTAGTGTTTAGTACACTAATTAGTGTATGTAACACCACTGTAATTCTAGAGATTCAACTAGTTGAATTGCATTCTCCTTTCGAAGATACCTTCTTTGTATGCTTCCATCAATAAAGATTTCTTTTGTCGATCAAAAAAAAAAAAAAAAAAAACGTTGGAGTCACAACATGAAACTAACTTACAACCTTTTTTTTAATGGGGTTGATTTCTACCGGTCCATAATTTGGTCGGAGGAAACTGCTTGGGTCTGTGGGGCCTATTATAGATTTTTTTTTATGATTTAAACTATTTATTTTATTAGACATTTCATATACTTCATTCACATAAAAAAGCTTTCGCTCTTTGTTGGTTTCTCACCAGTTAGGAGCTTCGAGCTTCCGTTAGCTCCTAACTCCTCTTTGTTGATGTAAATTATCATACTTTATATGTTTCATCAATAAAGTTTTCTTTTGCCGATCAAAAAAATAAATAAATAATTAGGTCGATTCAATAATTGTGACTTATTTAATTTATTGTGTTTGTTACAAAAAAATAAAAATAAATAAATGTTTAATTTTTAAAAACATAATTGTCTTCTAATTTTTTGGTGACAAGCACATTAAATTGAGTAGGTTATAATTATGAGATTGACTTGATTCTTTTGTGAATAAAATATATGAATTGTCCGATGAAATAAATAGTTTGGATCATCAAACGAAACTTATGATAGACCATACGGGCCCAAACAATGGCCTGTAGTATGGACTCGAAGGCAATCAACCTCCTTTTTAATATATATTGTTTTCTTTTTCTTTTTTACAATTTATAAGATGAGAACATGAGAAGGGCAATTTATATTAATTCTTAAACTTTGCTTCTCAAAATCCCAAATTATCTAAAGGCTCATGGCTAAGGCTTTATTTTTTATAGTCTGAAAAAATTCTAGCCTTGCGATTAAGTGAAATACAAATTTGACATTATGTCACATAAGAAAAAGGCCTTATCCACCATGCTTAACCAAGTGTCGACTAGTGTTTGCCTTTGTTAACCATCTTTCAAATAGGTGATTTGGCTTATCAAATGTTCATTTGAGCTTCATCTATTAAGTAAAAAAATTAATCTTGAATATATTTTTAAGTTTGGTATAGTTTTCAAATTAAATTTGAGCAGTTAATTGTTCGTTCGAATCGATTCAATAAGTTTAAAACTATATAAAAATTTCAAACTACTCGAGCTAAGCTCGACAAAAATTCATTTGAGATTGGTTTAGAAATTTAACGAACCAAGTTTGAGTTTGTTCAGCTCATTTATCACCCCTACTTCCTTTTGAGCTCAATACTAATTAATTACCCAAAAAAAAAAAACTCAATGCTAATCAGATTTTAGCTCTGTCTCTATTCACACATGGTACCACACGAACTCATCAATAATAATTTTTTTTTTTTAAAACACCATAAATGAAGACAAAATGTATAATTTTATATATTTATCATCTAAAATATATTTATGGACGAAGAATTACTATATACGCCATATACAATTACAATTTTTTGTCTTTTATTGTTGAACTAAAGTGAAATCATATTAGTAATATATTTTATTTGTGTTGAAGTAACAGATACTTTTGTTCTGAGGCATATCCAAGTCTAAAATTGTTTACCATTGTGACAAATTTTAAATATGTTTCGGCAAAAAGGGTTAAGACTAAAATGGTGGTGGAAATTTGGAAGTGAAGTAAATGCGCTTTGGAAAAGAATGTTGTGCAGCAAGTATATGATTGAGGAGGTTCATTGGCTCCCACCTATAAACTCATCAGCTAGATTTTCTAGAATCTGGGGAGATGTTCTTGCAATTGCTAGTCATAATCAACCTCTTGTGGAGTTCTTTGTGGAGAAGTATCAGATAAAGGCCGACAATGGGAGTATAATCAAGTTTTGGTATGACAAGTGGGTTGGAGGTAGGTGCCTTAAATATGAATTCCCTAGATTATTTAGTTTGTCAATTGCAAAGGAAGGCACACTGTCTTATTTTTTGAGAGGAAATCCAGCTCTGGGGAGCTGAACTTCTTTTTCCGTAGGTCATTATATGATTGGGAAAAGGCAGAGGTTAACAGGTTGGCAGTAGTGCTACTAGTGACCCCTCCTCTAAGACTGGATGAAGAAGACTGCCCAGTTTGGAATGGGTCTAATGTTGACAAGTTTAAGGTCTCAAATATATATCGATTTAGTGATTCCCTCTTAGGCCCTCCCCTCCAAATTTGTAAGTTTGTGTGGAATAATGGCATTCCCCCCAAGGTCCAATTTTTTGGGTGGTTGGCATGGAGGAATAGAGTGAAAACAGGGGTCTTGTAGACGTCCCCAAACGCCCCGGGAGGGAAATCCCGTTCTGTTCATTTGGGGTCACTACTGTTCGGGACTCTCAAATTGTCACGGTTCTTAATCTGAACCAAAGAGTCCAAATCCAGCAAATCGTTTTGAGAAAACAGATTTTTTTTTAAAGAAGTGCCAAACATGGACTGCTTTTCCAGATACAGAGTCGCCACCTAAATATTTTATTTTTGGGGAAATTTAGGAAACCCTGACTCGTTGCCTAAGGCCACGTGTCCGTCATCACCAAAGTTGTCTCGGCTCGGGAACTTGGGTACGATTGGGGAAGGTCACTTCGTGAGCACCCCCATTCGCCAGATCAAAGATCGGCCTCTACTAACCACGATATCTATTTTTGAAAACATTCTGCGTTCTTATTCCGGTTATTAGCCTATATTTACTATGTGATACGCACAGCATACAAGTATAGACTGGATCGCCTGAATTGGAACAAAACATTTTTTTTTTTGATCAGCAAAGAAAAATTTCATTAATCAACATGAAATTAAAGGTACAGGAAGATGAAATGCACTGAGAGAGATTCGGACAGTACAAAGTACCCCTACATTTCATGTTGATCAACAAAACATTTCATGTTTGTTTATTTGAAAATGGTTTGATGGTGCTACCCACAAGTAGGCTAAGACGTGGATTTGCCACCCTCGGGTGGGCTTAGAAAACATGATTTTTGCCACTATCTAATGGGCTTAAAACTCGAAATTAATGAATTGTTCCAATCCAAATAACCCAACCTTCACCCACAGGCATTCAGGCAGTTATATCACATAAGCATATAGCCTCATGGTAAGCATGCTATTCATGGCAGTCACTCACACGCATGCAAGGATGCTAAAGCATAAAACTTACCGAGTACTCCAAGCCAAAACAAAAAATATCACAATTACATTTCAGAAAGATGGACGTTCATTCATGCTTCATAAGATAGCAATTCAGAACAGATCATATCACATTAGTCAGAAATAGTTATAATTGAATATAACTTTACAGAGTTATTACTCAAAGATAACAGAAGCTTCCCAAGCTAGCAGACTGAGCAAACAATCAAACGTTCGACTGTGCGTGTCCTACATAGGTACAGAATAAACACGTGCTCAATTACACACTTGAAGGCTCTAACTTGATTCTTTCTCACTTTCTTATTTTAGTGTGTTCTTGTTCCTTATTCTCATTATGATGTCATAATCTTGCCCTAGGAATGCCTAGGATGGAAAGGGGCAGATCTCCATGATAATTAAGTTGGCCGGAGTGTCCTGGGTGAAAGTCCTGAAATTATACATGGGTCCCATTTGATGGCAGCCCGCGGATGAAATTTCCGTAAAATAATTGTAGTGCTTGTATAAAATCATTGAGTTGTAGTCTCATTTGAGGTATAGATGAAAGTAAGAAAGTGATCCATGTAATGGAAAGAGAGAAGAAATTGGTATCTCATGACTCTAAACTGCTGTATCTCCTTTGATGTTAATTGTGTATGTGTAAGTGGATTTATATCTTTGCTAAGATACATATACTGTGTTAGATCTTCTCTACTGGGCTGTGGCTCACCCTATTTGGGAATAACAATTTCAGGTAACGATGGCATGCCTCCACCAAGGCAATAGCATGGGAGGAGCCTTTTGGGAAACACGGGCTTCATAGTCTGTTTTGTGTATTTTGTAAAGCCTAGGGCTTAAGGTGTATAAATTTGTCTTTTGTGTAACCAAGTTGAGACTTGGAAAGATGTAAGCCCGTAGGGCATTTGC